ATAGGGATAAACTTGGAAAGTTCTTGATAAAAATTGCTTTTCCAATAACATTAAATAAGATTTCTTAATCCGTGTGAAAAATGAAACAAGCCTATATATATGGGACGGAGGTAGTATTTCCTTTTATCTCTGCAAAATTTTATATGCAAATAAAAAATGGATTATATTTTTCATTGATGATAGAACCTTTAAATCGAGAAGAATACAAATCGTCTAATAGGAAAAAAATTGTTTATTAATTCTTACCTAATTTAGAAGAAGCCATCCTGATGTAAGTATCTTGTCCTCCTTCAGATAGTTCTTTGTTGTTAACTAGGTCAACAAACCAAAGTAGGCATCCACTTCCCCCTCTGCTTAGATCCAAGCTAGAATAAGCTGTACAAGAGCAATTTCTAAGGCATACCAACATGCATTCGTTCAGACCACACTCTCGTTAAACTAGGAATATTGTGCTTCTGGCAATTTGATACCAGAATATTTAAGAAATACATCTTCATTTTGGCAATTCAAGTCTGCGAACACATGCATTTGACCAATCTGCATTTTCCCATCCTTCTGGATCTTTAGGCCGAAATCTATCTAAACATCTACAAACCAGAGAATTCGCAACATCGCAACTACCATATGCACCACGCAATCCATAAATATCACAATTATCTGTTGGAGCAGTAATGTAAACTACCCATCCTTGTGTTCTAGTAATCAATGTCATGCGCTGTCCTACACCACTTTCCCTCAAGGTAAATCTTGAAATAATTGATCGGTTAAGGAGCTCAAAAAGAATAGTACACTTCATTTTTGTTTAGAACTACTCCGTATGTGTAATTAGGATCATACCTCAAGTTTGGCGTCCCACTATAGCGGAGTCCATTCCAAGGTCCACTTTTAAACAGCACCAGCGAAACCAGTAGGATCAAAGAGAGATGTAAAATCACCCAAAGATGGATCATCAGTAATCTTCCATGATGAGAGATACACTTCTTCACCAGTTCTATAGTTCCAACGAACTTCAGTCCCAGAGGAAATTCTCAGGGTCATCATCATTTGTATCTTTCACAACAAGGTTTCCTGAATCCAGCAATTTTGCAACAAGAGTTTTCACAGGTCGTGATGTGTTAGAAGACCATATGATAACACTGTTAGTGTCGTTTTGAAGAACTAGACGTCCTGGCTCTACAACCTTCAAGACTCCTGATGTATTATCAAGTGGAACTTCTCTGTTGGCAACCCATACTACAGTCATAATTGTTATCTTCTTGTACCACATGCCCACTTATCGATTCTTGGAATTTCCAGGGCTAAAACATCCCAATTCAAAGGTTCCATCAGATGAAACAATGATCTCACCTTCTTTAAGGATCTGTGTAGTATTTATAGTATCTATAGCGTTGGAAATCTTGACGAAAGACATTAAGAAGGTTAAGACAAAAATTAAGGGGAAATCTGTATTCGATATCTTCATGGTTCTAGCTCTGATAGTATATGTTAGAATTTGTGTGTGACCGGATTCCTTGGTGAAGTAATTGAAGAATTTTAATTGAAGTGCACGCCAAGAAGAATTCAGTTTGGAATGTAATTGGAGTCCTATGTCAAGTTGAAGTTCTATTTTGGAAGCCAATTGAGATTGTAATTTGTTTTGAACTCGATTTTTTGGTATCATATTTCATCAACAACACTATTAAAAGGATTTAGACATCCCCTACATGTTCCCTATAAATATTAGGCTCTTCTATACAATTTCATAATGTGAGAATAAAGTGTGAGAAAAGAAATTATTGGGACTTTAGAATTAGTTGTATATTTCTCTATTATTATTGGTGCAATAAAATCTTTTAATTCTCCTGTCATATTTTTTTGTCTACTTTTATTATTTTGCTTCTGATCAAATACTTCATTATTGTGCCATATAACTATAATATCTCAATTCGGTGGTTGGTTTCACAACAAATGGTATCAGAATGATTCTCATATCTTGTTTATTTCACAACAGTATCTCTGCCTGTTCTTGTTTAATAGAATTGATATATGGGCATGTACACATCTTATTTTCTTGACATGGACCAATGATCATGAGGATAAAAATAATATTTCCGTTACAGAAAAGGCATCCAATTGGTAATCCGAAGTACTAAGGCTATGCTTCAAAATTCAATGCATCTTCTAACTTTTTTACCTGACAAATCCTAAAGTATCATAAGGTCACTGTGAATGAGGGAAATGTAGAAACGCGTTGAATTTACTTTGATATGTGGACTATTTCCCCTTTTCCATTAACATGGATATTGCCCTGGAATAAGCTGCGTGTGTGTTTTCTGCACAGTGACCCTTGATTTTTGGTTGTAAGCAGTTCTTGCTGAACCAGTCACCTGGTTGTAATTTACCTCCCCCAGTATACCCAAGCATCAGACTTGTGAATATGGAAGAGTAATCTATGATCTTTCGACTATTTTCCTTTCCTTTTTCGTCCACAATGACTTGATTATTGACATGGAATAATCAGGTCTTTTTATTTATTCTTGTAATAAATAATTGTCAGCTTAAATTCAATGAAAATATCAACTATAATTGTGTATAGGCTAATAGGCATTAATTTAACTCTCTGGACATTGGAACTTTTGAGTTGAACTGGGTCGAAGCTCCTCTATGTAAGGTTGCCGCCCTGTCTTTGCCCAGCCCGCTTGCATCATCATCAGACTTGAGCAAATCAGAACGTGTCGATCATGTTGTACAAGAAATGTCAATTCTTTAAAGTCTAATAGTCAATTTGGAAATATTGACACTCGAAAACTGATTCCATAATACTGAAACCGACACATATATCTGTGATGTATACAACTTTTTGAGGAGACCGGAAAAATGTAGAGGAAAAGAACAACAGAATTGCAAGAAACAAAGATTGTGAAATAATGTAATATATCCCAATTCCTATCTGGCATCTAGTAACGTAATTGTCACTTCGTTTAATGAGTTGGCCGCATTTGTGCTGGTTGAACTCTCAGCAATAACTAAATCTCTTTCTGTGAAAAAACCAGGCCGTTTAGGGTTCTGGAGCTCAACTTCATTTTCCAACATGAAAATCGCTGTAGACATGCTAGGCCTATCTCCTGGATATTGTTGCACGCATAACAGACCTACATGGATTGATCGTAGCACTTCTTTTAAGTAATGTGAAACACCTTGACAAGTATAGGCTAGTTCCAGTGACCTTCCCTCTTTGTGAAGTATCCATGCCTGTATAAATTTGGATTAGGCTAAGATGACCTTAATTTCTACGCATGATGGTAGTAATTTCTCGTAAGACAAAATTCTTACATGTCCAAGAAGGTTGAGGTGGTGATCACTATGAGAAAATCCCCAATTCTTCTTTCCACTGACAATTTCTAGCACCAAGACGCCAAAACTATATACATCTGATTTTACGGAGAACACGCCGCCCAATACATACTCTGGTGACATGTAGCCACTGCATAAAAGTGTTAACTAGAAAATAATGTTATAAGCAATTGAAATGTATTAGATACAGTGTCGCATATAGATTCTTACTATGTTCCCACAATCCGGCGAGTCTTGGCTCCAGTCTCATCTCCTCCAAAACTTCTAGCCATGCCAAAATCCGATATCCTCGGGTTCATGTCAGCATCAAGCAATATATTGCTTGCTTTGAGGTCTCTATGGATTATTCTCATCCGAGAATCTTGATGAAGATACATTAGACCCCTGGCAATGCCATTGATAATATTGAAGCGCTTGGGCCAATCAAGTAACCTACTTTTTGTTTCATCTGCCAAAAGTTTATATCTTATCAGTACATTTTACCATTTTTGGATGCTTGAATTTAATAGTATTAGTTTCAAAGTCTATGATTAAACTACATCATCTGGCTAACTATAATATGAAATAATGCTGGTCACAGAATAAAAATTCCAGTATTTATGCAAAACAGAGAATTCTGCTTGCTACCAGCATTGATCTTCTGTTCTCTCCATATTGAGCTACTCGTTAGTGGCACTGTGACCTAAATAATGTCGAAACAAATCCTAGCGCCATTATTATGGCATTCCA